GCTGTGGGTCCTGGGGGTCGGCGTGGCGGGGCTGCTGGTCAACGTGCTGGGGCTGTGCCTCTTCCACCATCACAGCGGCTTCGGCCAGGACTCCGGCCACGGCCACTCGCACGGGGGACACGGCCACAGTCACGGCGTCCCCAAGGGGGCCCGCGTCAAGACCAATCGCGCTGGGGGCAGCGACATCAACGTGGTCCCCGGCGAGCAGGGGCCTGAGCAGGAGGAGACCAACACCCTAGTGACCAATACTAGCAACTCCAACGGGCTGAAACTGGACCCGGCAGGTGAGCGGAGAGCGTGGCCGCCGCAGGGGGGGGGGGGCCGCCGCAGGTGGTTGGGCTCGGGGAGCTCCGACCCTCGCCTGGCCTGGGCGGGATGGCCTGCACGCCCCCTGCTGCCGGAGCGGGCGGGCGCCGCGCCGCCGCCGCCGCTTCCACCCGGGTCAGCACGCGCCTCGCCACCCCGGGAAATCAGACAGCCCCTACCCAGTTCGGCTGGGGGGCACGTCTGGAATGTATGTACGTGGGGGCCGTGGGTCTGACCGGAGGGAAAAGGTCAGGAGGTGACCGTCAACCCGCTGCAGTGCGCACCTGCACTTGGCTGTCTTCTAGAGACTTGTCTTGTTTTGGTTATCACAGGATCAAAAATCCTTCCTAATTCAATTCCTTGGTCCTCTTGGGAAAGGAGAAAATCCCCAATTCGGAGGGATTTTCGTCTTTAGTTGGGTGTTGAAAATCTTGCTCTGAAAAGTGGTCTTATGCCCACAGAGCAAGTTCCAGAATATTGCATTCAGAGTGTGTTAACCCTGGTTAAAGGTTTCTCTTTTGAACAGTAGTGTATGTTTCTGTTCATTGATTCGTAATCCTGAAAACCGAAAGTTTTTAGTGCCTGTCTTAGCATGTTTAACATTTACTTTACTTAGGACTTTTCATAATCATACTAAAATAAAAGTGATGGTAATTTATTCCTCTTATATTTTTAATCAGTGTTTTTCATTCTAAACGAAATGCTTTTGAAGGATATTTGAAAAATAAATAAATAAATGTTGACAGAAAGGAAATGTGGAAAAGTTAACCAGTGCTCTCTCCTACCAATATTCAGTGACATTAACACTGGTGTATTTCTTTCCAATTTCATTTTTCACTATTTATCAATATTTACAATACCGTGTTGAATTATGCTACATAGACAGTTTTCTTTTCAGATGCAGGATATTAGTAAAATTCAGATAGTACATTATAAAAGTTTAATAAATGATTTGTACTTCCTCTCACTCTATGTGGTAAGCCAAAGAAAATTTAACCACGCTGGTGTGTAATTCTTTTAAAATATCAATACTTTAGTTCTAAAAGTCAGTAGGACAGGTAATAATCATTTTGTTTCAACTTTTCTAATAGTCTGTGATTTTTTATTTATTTGTTGATTTGTCGAAGACTGCCTTTTCTGCTCATGATAAAAGTTTAGTAGTTAAAATTGGTTTTATTTTCAAGTAGTTAACCTCACAGTGACTAGAGCAAGGTCAGTATCTATTTGGGCGTTTTATATTAGCATTCTTAGCTGCATTTAATTTTGAGTGATAGCATTCAGTTTAAAAGTTTTTTGTATACCCAGAATTTCAAATGTTTACAGGATACTCCTACACACACACACACACACACACACACACGCACAGAAACGATACCCTTTTTTGGAGACAGAGGAGGAAGGTAGAGTTTGCAGAGTAGAGAAACTTATCACAATGACTTAATTTAGCCCTAGCCATTATGTCTTGGCTTGTTCTCAGAATATCAGTTTATATTAAATTGATCCAAGCACATTTTTCATTGTGTTTCATCAAAATATTTTCACCTGCTTTGCCACTTTAAATGAAATTAGATGAAGATATTTATATAAACACTTTAAATGTATTTGATACAGAATTTTTCTTTCTTTGTAGATCCAGAAAAATCCAGAAGTGATGATGCCATAGAAGTACAAGTGAATGGGAATCTCATCAGAGAACCTGACAATATAGAAATGGAAGAAGAAGACAGGGCTGGACAACTTAACATGCGTGGAGTTTTTCTGCATGTCCTTGGAGATGCCTTGGGTTCAGTGATTGTAGTAGTAAATGCCTTGGTCTTTTTCTTTTCTTGGAAAGGTTGTTCTGAAGGGGATTTTTGTGTGAACCCATGTTTCCCTGACCCCTGCAAAGCATTTGTAGAAATAATTAATAGTACTCATGCAACAGTTCATGAGGCTGGTCCTTGCTGGGTGCTATATTTAGATCCAACTCTTTGTATTGTGATGGTTTGTATACTTCTTTATACAACTTACCCATTACTTAAGGAATCTGCTCTTATCCTTCTACAAACTGTTCCTAAACAAATTGATATCAAAAATTTGATAAAAGAACTTCGAGATGTTGAAGGAGTTGAGGAAGTTCATGAATTACATGTCTGGCAGCTTGCTGGAAGCAGAATCATTGCCACTGCTCACATAAAATGTGAAGACCCAGCATCATACATGCAGGTGGCTAAAACCATTAAAGACGTTTTTCATAATCACGGAATTCATGCTACCACCATTCAGCCTGAATTTGCTAGTGTAGGCTCTAAATCAAGTGTAGTCCCGTGTGAACTTGCCTGCAGAACTCAGTGTGCTTTGAAGCAATGTTGTGGGACACGGCCACAAGCCCATTCTGGAAAGGATGCAGAAAAGGCCCCAACTGTTAGCATTTCTTGTTTAGAACTTAGTGACAATCTAGAGAAGAAGACCAGGAGGACTAAAGTTGAAAGCATCCCTGCTGTTGTGATAGAGATTAAAAAAATGCCAAACAAACAACCTGAATCATCTCTGTGAGTCTTGAAAAAAGATGCGATATTTGACTTTTGCTTTAAACTGCAAGAGGAAAAAGACTCCACTGAAATTCTAAGTTTGCCAAGTAGTGTAATCGAAGTCCTTGTCTGGTCACACACAGTTTAATTCTATTTTTGTAAGAACATAATGGGACTGCATAACAGAGTTCTATAGTACAACTTTGTGATTGTTAGTGCAGAATGCAGCTATGCTGTAACAATTTTTGGAAAGCCAGTTTTAACACTATGTTACATTTTTGTTTAAAGTAAGTATAAACTTTATATAACATAATGACATTTGATTTCCAGTTTTCCCATGATAAAGATTAGGGGGATAAATAAATTTAAATTTTTACTGGAATTTCTCTGCTTTTCTTTCTCCCCCAATGTTATACTTTGTTGATTAGAATTATAATTGCTAGAACTTTAAAACCAAGTTTATTTCCGTTGACATTTTAGGTAACATTTACCTGCCCTTTGAGATCATTTCATAGCATAATGACAGCATATTTGTAAGAGTGACTCAAGGCTACTAGAAAATAAGATTGGTTACTATCTTACATTCTGTATTGTTGAGTGTTAATCTGATCAACAGTGAGATAATTAACAAATTGAACTATAGTTTACACATGGGGCATATGAGGAGTAAGAGCAGGGAAGAAAGTTTACCAAATTAAGTATTTAGATTACTGTATATTAATATTCAGACTACATTTCTAAATTACTTTGAGAATTGCAACTCATTTTATTCTACCAAAGTCAGTCTAAAACATGGACATGTTCACCAGCATTACTTCTTTTAAGTACTGGTATGAGAAACACTGAGCTGAAAGTTTACTCACAAAATATATGACCTTTTTAAGGATGTTAACTTAGAATCTAATAATTACATGTTAAATGGAAGCTATTAATGTAATCTTTTAAATTGTGGGTGTTTAAAAAAGTCTTTTTCAAAGTTGAAGTCATTTCATGATGACCAATCATGAAAAGATTTGAATGGGAGGTTTTCTTTTTTAGCACAACCAGCAATGTTTGTGCTTTGCCAAAGCCACTGACTTCAGAGTAAAAAAATCAGTTGGTGCAATTTGGGTATTAAATTCTTAGAAAGCAAATTTAATAAGTCGTCCTATCTTGACATTGCTCAGATCTTCCAATAGCAGCTTGTTTTGTGAGATGCCACAATATCTACACAAGAAATTGTTCTTGGCTATTTCATTACTGCTATAAATTTCAAATCCAACACAAATATTATTTAAAGATATTTAAGTTATATTTTCTTGATAGAGAAGGTTATGCTTTGTGAAGAAAATGTGATTTTTGTCCTCAGAAGGATGAATATTAATATCAGTTATGTATAGCTCTATTTTTCTAGAAACAAGGTATTCTGACTACTTCAGTAACTTTTATAGCTGACTACTTTTGAGATGGCTACTTTTTGGGATTTGAAATAATTCATTGTTTAATGGGTCTTAAGATGAAAGTGTTGGAATTTGACAGTTACTTTTTAAAGGGATGATCTTTTGTGGTAGATTGTGGGCTTTTTCCCTAGTATAAGCCTGTTGCTGGCAATGGGCCTATTTAAGAACAGTTGGTTTTTCCAGTGAGAATGACGTAATTTTAGGAACATAGTTTGTAAGTTCACATTTACTATAATGGGCCAAAAACCATAACCTGCCAATTTGCAATACATCTTGATTTTTTAACAGTTTTGTCTGATGTTGTGTAATTCAATTTCTAAGCTAGTAGTTACTTTGAATTCTTCAAAAAGGTTTGCTTTTTTTTCTTTTTTTTTTAAACATGACATTGGGGAATCTCATTTGAGTGAACAAGATAAAAAGCTGCAAACTGTACTGTATCATGTACATTCCTGATTTAACACTTTATAAAACATCTTGTAAAGATCTCAAGACTGTTTATAAACATTTTGCAATGATACAATAGGATAACTGGTCAAATAGATGACATTCAGTGAGGCTTTCTTTACAAATGCTTTATTTGGGGTCTGTGTCCTGAAGGCAGTGCAACATAGAAGACATCACCAAATGAGGATTTTTTTTTTTAAATGGCATATAAGCATGGGACAAGGGCTATGTTGTTTTTGTTTTGTTTAGTTTTGTTTTTCCAGAAGTGCTTTGAAGGTAACAGCCTTTAGGTTTTAGTTATTTCACTTTTCATGAGTTTTAAGTAGCTTCTATATAACAAAGTGGTACCATAGGATTTTCTTTGTTTCAAAGGAATAGCAAAATCAGTAGGCACTGACTGACCTTTTGAGTTTTAGCAGAGAATTATTTATTTCTTTACAATGCACTTTCTAACCCATGTTTAGCTATATTAGCATTATCTTAAAAGACATACTTTTATATTTAAATATTATGGGATTTAAGTGTCTTTTTTTCAAAAGTAGTCCTTCCTGAAAGAAAATGAGGGAAATAACCCTGAATTATTAGGAGACTTAAACCCAGTATTTAAATAAGCTGTTTGATAACACTGCATCAGTTTTAGGAGTTGCATCTCTCCTGCTGGCTCTTTTATATTTGAGCAAGATCAGAGTAGAATATATGTTTAGAAACTTATCTGTTGTCTCAGAAGGAGGTGCTGCATGTGCCTGAATCGAAACTAACCAGAAATTTTTCTAAGCCAAATTCAGCCTTAGTGATGGGAGACTGAATTCTCCATTGTCACCTTTTAGTTTGTGTGATTATTCAATTTTTTCTAAAGGGTATCTTCATTGTAAAAGTATGGACTTTAGAACCTAAAATTTTGCTGTTTGTATTTTTAACATTTTAGAAAACAATACTTTGAATAACTAAGGTATGAATTTGAATAGGAAAAATTTCTATCAAATGCACCTTGGAAAATCACAGTAGGTAGAAGGCTATGTTTGTGTCATGTTAACATCCTGAGTTAATTTTGAATTTTTGGAAGTTTTGAGGGAAAAGACCTATGAAACGTAACGTGAACTATTTAGTAGGTAACTGTTATGAAGTTGAAGATTTGTACTGTTTATAAGCAGATATTATTTGAATGATAAAAATAGTCATTAACCTGCTGTCTTAAGATTTTCACAACACAAATATGGAGAGTGATTCTACAATATAAAAATATTTATTTTAATACTGAGTTTCAGTTAAGTCATAAAACAGTGTTAAAACTCTTGGAAGGTGGAGGGGTTTTTTGTTTGTTGTTTTTTAAATTGCAACTGTCATACAGTGTTCCACTGTCTCTGAAACGGGAATTGTAATAGCACTATTTGTAGCTCTACCGATACTACATGGCGATGCTATTTCGTTTTACTAACAAGCTCTGGAATATTTAGCAGTCATTTTCACTGGCACAAGAGCCTTTTTTGTATGTTATTCAGTTTAAACTTTTAAACCAAAAATTTTATGGCCCAGTGTCTTTGGCAAAAAGATGCTGAAGGGAATGTAACATACAATTAATGTGTGGTTATATATAAAAAGACACAAATTGCCATGTTATGGTCCTGCCTTGAAACAGCACAATGAAGTGTATCAGTGTGTTCCAGTGATCCTTTATGAGACTTCCATATTGTGTTGTTTTTGTGTCTGCTGTTGCCTGTCCTTTGGGCCAGATGTGGCACAGTTAAATGCAGTTGTCATCTCATTAAATGCAGATGCAGATAAAATGTCTTTAGTGCTGCAACATTTTACCTAACTTTTTGTATGTTTTATGACTGTGCATTATTTTCCAAAGCTGTTCCTACCTCACCATGAGGCTTTATGGATTGTTATGTATTATAAATGTTCTATATGAGACAGACTACTGTGTTTCTTCTCATTTATTAAAAGTTAAGTAGAAAAATAAACTAATTTTAATATCTACTTCAGTTTGTGCATGATGACATCCCTCCTATACTGTGCTGGGTTATGTAGAAGGGGGTCGAGTTTCAGATATTAAAAGGGAAACTTCAGTTCTTCATAAATGCTCATATGCAGTGACCAGTTACAGGGCAGTGGTGTGGGAGGAAACAAATGTAGGCAAAAATTGAACTAGAAATTGAAAAGGTAACTCACCACAAAGACTCACTAATAAATAGTAGTTGTGAGATTCTTCTGGTTATTAGCATTAAGCTTATAGATTATGTAGTTACAGTTAACCTGCTGCTTTTAGTGCTTGCTGTTTTCTGTTTGTAGCATTGTTACTAACAAGGATATATCTACCTGCTATATAATCATCAGAAACTTAACTCAAGAGTTAGTACATTAGTGTGGTTCTATGAGCCTCACGGTTGTCACAGATGTCTTACTGTATAAAAAAACTTTGAAAAATGTGTGCTTCTGACTATGAGACAACAGTTGAAAACTCATTTGACAGTAAATAGCAGTAGATTAAAAACCCAATTAAGGGAGTTGATAAATACTCCTAAGAAGGGGTAAATATCTTTGGAAAAGACTGTGTCGGTTAAAGTGGACAGCAGTAGGTATTGCAAGGCAAGGAATGTATAAAGAGTTGGGGGACTGGATGAGACAGTCACTGAGAGGTAAAATGCAGTTCTCTGTGAGGCTAACCAGGCTTGAGTCCAGAGACCCTGAGGATCTCCATGGCTGGAGAGTTGGGTCAGGGTCATGGCTCTTTGGAAGTGCTGTTTTGTTGTCTCACTCATAGAAGAAACTTGGGGCGGGGGACGAGTTGAGGGATGAGATAAAAGAAGATTGTAAAAGAGAAGGGTAGAAGTTTGAATTTAGATTTATAGGAAATGAAGCTTTTATAATTTGCCAGAGGATCCTTGTGATTGGCAAAATGTCTGTGAGACAGCAAAAGAGAGAGAGCCCCAAGTGGGGGTAGTCACACCACAATGCCTTCTCCATCACGCCATCACGGACAAGTGTGTCCAGCATGTTTTGCACCCAGTGTATTTTTCAAGCCTCTGGGCCGAGATTCTAACTGCATGATCAGTTATGTGGAATCTGGCACCCTTAACCACCAGGCCCCTGGGCTGGTCTCTGCTCTCGATATATTTTGAGTGGATAAATGAAGAAGTGGAAACTACAAGACAGATTTGGAATGGGAGGTAGGCAAAGTGAAACAGGAAAGCAAATCCACTTTGAAGATATTCAATACTAAGAGCCTGAACTTGTTTTCAAATACACATGTCCACATCTGCATATACCACATTTCAATTGATTCCACACACTTCTTGTATTTTAACATTTCTGAGATCAGAATGCATAATTACAGTCAGTAGTATGTTACAATAACTTCTAGTCAACTTGTTTTCCTTACCTAGATGTGTCTATTAAGGAGTCAGAAAAGAATTTCTTTCCCTGGGACCAGCAGTTGGCATAACTGCTATGTTGCTGGACTCCCACGGAGTCGACCACAGTTTGAGCCCTGGACCCAGTGGCTTAAGCTCACACTGGGGGCGTGTATGTGCGTGCCCAAGATGCCAATAGGAGAATGGAGAAGAAAGGATTGCAGTGTGGCCATCCCCACCCCCCCAGGGGTGATTTCTTGCTTTCTCTGTCTTTCTGGCAAGTGCACACACCCTATAGCAAAACTCTCAAAATATATATATTTCCCAGGTAATAGTCTTTTGACCACATTTGCCAATGTACCCTGAAATAATTTCATGTAATATGCTTTGTGCATTTGGATGAGAACTATTGCTTTTTGAATAGATTAAAATATTCTAAGAAAGTCATATAACAGTGTTGTTTTTAAAGAAACAGATGTTTTTTTTTTGAGAGAGATTTTTGCTATAGGGCACATGCGCTCGCCAGACAGAAAGAAACAGAGAGACAGAAAGCAAGAAATCCCCCCCCAGGGGGGATGGCCACGCCGCAATCCCTTCTCCTCCATTCTCCTCTCGGGATCTTGGGCACGCACTCACACATGCCTGGCATGAGTTTAAGCCACCGGGTCTGGGACTATGTGGGAGTCCAATGACATAGCCATTACGCTGTTGGTCCCAAGAATCAGACATTTCTGACTCTTCAAAATTGACAGCATTTTGCCCTCCACTATAGCCTATAGCCCTTTTTTTCTTTAAAAGCAAGTATGACACCTTGTTGCATTGCTTATTTAAAAACAAGTTCCCCTTCTAGATTATAAACTGTGAGGTCAAGACTATCTTATTCATCATTCCTTTCTCAGGATATAACACAGGGACCAATACCTGGTAGGTCTTCAAAGGCATTTAAAGATTGAAGAATGGGGGAACCAGCAGTTAGCGTAATGGCTATGTCGCTGGACTCCCACATAGTCGACCACGGTTTGCGTCCCGAACCCAATGGCTTAAAACTCACGCCGGACGTGTGTGCGTGCATGCCGAAGATCCCGAGAGGAGAATGGAGGAGAAGGGATTGTGGTGGACCATCCCCCCTGGGGGGTGATTTCTCGCTTTCTGTCTCTACGTCTCTGTCTGTCTGGCGAGCGCGCTTACCCTATAGCAAAAACCTCTCCAAAAAAAAAAAAAAAAAAGATTGAAGAATGGCAAGACTGGGGGGAAAAACAATACAATTAATAGTTAAAACATACGGAGCACTTACTGCATGCCAGATACGTACGTTCTCACCTAATCCTTGCAAACCAATAGGCATATTTCATTATTCCCATTTTATAGACAAATCGAGATATGAAAGCACCTTACCCAAAGTCATCTAGCTACTAAGTGAGGGAGCCAGAACTGGAACTGGGCGATAGGTGGAGGACACCGTGAGCAGCTCGTTCTCCATCACTTTGGACTTTCCTGACAACGGATTTCTTGAGTAAATTTAAAATGAATTTTTTTTCCTAATTTTCATCCCTTTTCCTCTTCGCATGTAAGACCCTGCTGACATCTCAGTTCTTGTCACCCACCTGCTCTTTGACTTTAGCGACGAGTTGGGGGCTGAGATAAAAGAAGATTGTAAAAGGTTCTCCTTGAACCTTCTGTTCTGCCACACGGAAGCACATACATTTCCCCAAACAGCCTTCTGTACCATGA